AATTAAGTGATACATACAGTACAGTAAAGCATACAGTACAATGTAATATTAAAAATAAAAAAACCACAAATCACAACAGTTTAATCAAATTTTACAGTCAAATTTTTTTTTAGATAGCAACAAATTACTTAAATCTTAGTTAATGTTGCCTTAAACTCTTATTTTACATTTTCTTGTTAATAAAATTATTTAATGCTCTTAATTATTTAATAAAATTATTTAACTCTCTTGCACAATATTTATATAAGATTAAAGACAGATGTGTTGAAAGCATACAAAAATCAATTTAAACAACTTAGTTGTTTTATAATAAAACTAAGAAACTCTAATATTATATATATTAACATATATTTTTTAATTATTATTTTTAATTAACAAATTGGTTCAAAACGAGTTCTGGACATATTTTTCAGACCTTTAGTAATTATTATTTTAACTTTGTTTTTTATTTATATAACACTTGAATTAACTGGTGTTTAAACAAATTTATTGCTTTTTTTTTATAAACTTTTTCAATATGACAAATTAATCCTTTCATTAAAACAGTGATTACAGCTTTAAATCATCATTTCATTGATAAATTGCAACTCTTACCAAGTTTTTACTATATGCTTTCTCTAATTATCCTTTACTACAGAGCTATTGTAAACCATACATACAATCCATAGCAAAATTAGCTAAATCTGCTAAAGTTGCTTAATGTTTATCATGCTCACCATTTTTTTACTCCTAATTCTAATACCTACATCTATTAATATCATGTTAATCCTTGTATAGAATTCAACTGTCATATTTAGCCTGGTTTTTTCTAATGAGGCTTATTCTCTAGACAAGATTCTAAATTGCAGTATAAATGTTCTTAAATCTGATCACTTGTTCACGCTTCTCTGTCTTAGCATCTCTAAAATCGCATCTTTATACTATAACAGCTCCTTCATGCTCCAAAAACTTTTATTTATCTAATATTTTTCTTGAACATCAGTGCTTTCGAATTCTCAACAATCTACATGTTTTCTTGACTCATCTTTTATCTTAAATGTCTTCACTGTTACTAAAATAAAATAACTTCAAAAACCAAAACAATTTTGACTCATCACTTCTGCAAAAATTTGAGAATTGTACAGTGCAACTTTTGACTAATACTTATTGAGCTTGGTTTTTTAAAAACTTAACTATCAGAATGATAGCAATAAAGGTTTCGAATTCTACAACTAAGTTTCTCACACAAAGATGATTAATCTAGATTGGCAGCAAAAAAATACTTTGCATACTGGTTAGTTTCTGTAACTAACAAATACACAAGTTTAACTGGAAAATAAATTTCATCATAATTAAAACAACTTGGAATAAGCTTGCTTTTAACTTCAAAACTCTCTTTAAAAAGTTCATAAAAATCCATTAGATAAACAGGAACAACATCATCATCCATATAAATTTCAAGAGAAAGGCTTGATTATAACCTAATATAACTACCCACTCTATATAACACTCTAACGCAACTACCAACTCTACATTGGTCATGCATAATACCTTGGACAGCTTCATTGTATATACTCTTATTAGATACAAATCCATCAGCAATAACTTCTCCATCAGAGTAATGCTCTAGATCAGCAACACTTAACAGGAAATGCTTTATTATTGTTTTGAAAGAGTACCAACTTGGACACATACATGCCTTTTCGATCAATGTTTTTAATTAAAATTTCATTTACAAAACTTTACTACTCTTTATTTGTGCTTTATTTTATTTTATTAATTTTTTCTTTCTCTTCTATATTTATATGTTAGTTTTCTTTATTTATTTATTTTTTCTTAATTTTTCTTTCTTTTCTTTGAAATTTTACTTTTAAATTTAAAATTGTAAATTTCCATACTTTATGGTGAAATAAATGGACTAAAAAAACTCACTTTTCTTAAAACTGTATTGACACAACCATATTTGGTTGTGTCATTATAGTTTTTAAAGCCAAGTTAGTTTATTTGCTGAGACCCACTTGGTGTTATTTTCAATTTACTATATGTTATCAGGGCTGTAGAGTCAAAGTCGTGAAGTTGCGACATTTGTAGCAGAGTCAGAGTTGCCAAACAAAATCACGACTCTGACTCTAATAGTAAAACTTTTTTTTTATTGCATGCGCATGTATAAAATATTTAACTTTCAATGAATTGTTCATATATTTAGCTACAAAAAAAAATTTTAAATTATTGCATAATATTTATCAAAGAATTCAAAAAAATTTTCAAAAATTTGGAAAAAAAAATTATTTGAAATTGGAGTAGGAGTTGTACTCTGAAAATTTCAACAACCAGAGTCAGAGTCTGTCTTTTTTTTATGAATCCACACCTCTATGTTATATAGCAAACTTAAGAAAAAAGATCAATTAAACTTGATAACAACATTAACTCTAATTGACTTTCACCGAAAAAAATTATTTAATTAAGTAGAATAGTAAAACTGGATATTGGTCTAGCTATTATATTTTTGAAATTTATATTTATTTTTTTATTAAATGTTAATTCAATTTACATTAAATAGAAAAATTGGCTTTTTAAAACCATAAGTAAATTGACCTTGGAGTATCAAAAGTAAACTGCTTCCTTATTTCTTTACAGCCATTTTTCAAACATATTTCTAAAATTCAAAATATTTTTAAACCTATTATCACTTGGGCCTCTTATTACAGCTTGTTTATCATTCATAGATCATCCATGTCATATTTTAAAAATTCGGAAAATTGTTTTGGTTAAATATCCTGAATATATTTTTCTTTATTTTCCTCTTAATTTTTTTTACTTAGCTGAATTGTTATTAACTTTTTTTTTAAACTATTCTTAATTTTTATATGAGTGATAAGTGAAAAAGCCTACAAACAAATATATTACAAAAATATATACCTAAACTTTAGGGTCAGGGTAATAACATCTGGGCATTTCCAAAAAATCACTCACGGAAACTCGTATATGTTTTTACTTTTATTTTCATAAAAATAAAACTAGCGATCTCCAATTTACTCTCATTTAATTCTAATTAATATAAATATTTTGTAAACAAAAAATAGTAAGCATTAGTAATGTTAACAAAGAATAAATAAAGTTTGAATGGAATCACGCACGGAACAGAAAAACTTCTATTTTAGTTACTAGATAAATAAACTTTAATTCCTCGGACAATATAAGTTTCACCTGTATACTTTTTTTTTTAAATAGTATTTTAAACATTAGTAAAGATTTCCAGAAAGTTACAGGATTGCACTATGAATCATAGAGTCACAGCAATTGTTTAAATGCAGTTTATGAATGATCACGCACGGAAGTCATGCACAGATGTTGCAAATTTGTCAATTTCATGTAGTTATTTTTATGAAAATAAATTGCTTGTGAGTATTTCAAGTGAAATATTATACTTCTGCGACTCATATTTAATATATTTTCGATGAGAAACGACAGTCATCAATTATTTCTAGCTAGAGTATGGCGTTTTGAAAATTATTGTATATTTTTCAAAATGTAGCGATATTATTACTCAAAAAAATAAAATTGTAAAAATGTGTATATTTAATTTGTTCAGATAGCCTAAAATATGATAAAAATATTTTTGTTGTAATTGTTCTTTAAAAAAATCAAAATAGTATGCATATTGCATAAAGTCCCAGCTTTTAATTGCTAAAACAAAGAAAAATAAAAAAATCACGCACAGAAATGGAAATGCCCATCTGTTTTTGCTTTGTCTAATAAAATCTGTGCAACAACATCCAAAATTTCATCAATGTATAATAACATCCATGCAACAACACCCCAAATTTCATTGATGTATAATAAAATCTCTCCAATAACATCCAAAATTTCATTGATACATAATAACATCCATGCAACTACACCTGTAGATTTTTCGTATATAACTACTTCCGAAAAAAAAATTTTAATAATGCATTATTTTACCAAGATGTAGTTACACATTTGATTTTTTTCGGATGTAACTACATCAAGAAATTTATTTTAACTAAAAATGCATTATTTTAGGCAGATGTAGTTACATCTTTCTAAACATGTTATTAGACATCAATGAAATTTCAATAGTTGTTGGACAGATTCAGTAAAGAAAAATTCAGTAAAGAAAAAAAGTGGATGAACTTCGACAAAAATGTGCAGATGTTATTTCATTACTTAACAGATATTGTAGCACAGATGTAGTAATCTTTTCCCAACTTATATGTATGGAAAACATTTTGGATATCCGCAAAAAACAAAAGTTGAGAAAAATATCAGGAAATCCTGAAATATCCAGAAAAAGATAATCCCTGATCATTGAACTTAATATCAGCACTTGTTCTCTTAACATTAAGAAACTTTCTACCATGATATAGTCATCTTCATCAAATCTGCTGTATGGACTTTTTTTATATGCTGCTTATATTATGGATGATTACTTAAAGCATAGTACATTTTTAACATATTTCAAAATGTTTTAGTCTGTAAATTATAGAACTTCATTATGCGATTTTATTAGGAAGTGGATTTATTTCATTACCTTAGCTGTTTCAATACTTTCAAAATGCACGATCTTAAGTCTTAACATCTTGAATTTAAGAAACAAAAACAATTATCAACTTGTAAATTAAGATAGAGTCCTAATGTGATTACTGCATATTGTTCCTTCAACCAAACATGTTTTAATTTGTCAAAAGCTTTAAGTGGGTCAAACGCAACACTCTTACACTACTTTATTAAAGTCGTATTATTTTTTTAAATGATAATTTAAACATATTATAGAAGTGTCCTTGTATTGCTTTCTTTAATAATATATTAATTGATTATTTTTTTCCCTAGTATTTTTATTTCTAAAAATCGCAAAAGAATTTGCTATTGAAATGGTAGAAAATAACCACTCCAAATCAAAAAATTTTGATATATTTTCAGGCCGCCATCAGGGATTTATTAGAAAAATTAAACTGCCTTATTAAATAATTAAATAATCTGTGCTATTTATAAATACCTACCTGACACTTTTTTAGATTTTCTCAATTCACTTAAGTTTTCATCAATACTGTCATATACTCCATTATTCGACATTTTTTACCTATTTTTTTACTCGGATTTATACTTAATTTTGAATTTCCGGATAATAAACTTAAATGGTGCAAATTACCAAAAAATAAACCATCTTTATAAGCGATGTGTTCCCAGAAATCTCTTGGCGAACTAAAGCATGTTCATAAAACTAACCTCAGATAATTCTTATGTTCGTTCGACATGTCTGAAACAAGGAGATTAATTTTTGTGTATTCATATTTTTTACTATATTATATTTTATACATATTTTAAAATTTATAAAAATATATTTTGAAATTTTAGGTAATAAACAATCATTTTGTAAATGAACCTCATGGCCGTAGGGGGTCTATAGCCCCCCACTTTTTGTTTTTACTGCGTGTATTATTATATATTACTATATATATAATAATAAATAATATAAAGATATTATTATATACATCTATTTTTATTTATATCTATTATTATTTATACCTATTATTATTTATATAATTTATTTTATATATATATATATATATATATATATATATATATATATATATATATATATATATATATATATATGTATATATATATATATATATATATATATATATATATATATATATACATATATATATATATACATATATATAGTAGTAGTAGTAGTAGTAGTAGTAGTAGTAGTAGTAGTAGTAGTAGTAGTAGTAGTAGTAGTAGTAGTAGTAGTAGTAGTAGTAGTAGTAGTAGTAGTAGTAGTAGTAGTAGTAGTAGTAGTAGTAGTAGTAGTAGTAGTAGTAGTAGTAGTAGTAAAAATAATTGACAAAATACAAATCATAGATTGTCAGATTACAGTTAGTTTTTGTGAAGCTCATATTGCAATTTTTACTAGGAAAGCTGCAAGCTGTATTAACATTACAGCTTATCGAGGCTTGTTTTAAAGCTGTTGACAGTTGGAGAACTGATTACTTTATCTGGTAGCATGTTCCATGCATTGACAATGCGATTGTTAAAAAAGTGGAAGCGAGGTATGTGGTTTCTGTACTTTTCGCGATGAAATCTTTCTCTGTGATTTGCTCTTGGTGGAATTGTGATGAGGGGAAAGTGCCAGTTGATTATGTCAATGTTATTAACAATTTTGTATTTTTGGATGAGGTCACCTTGTTTGCGACGTTTACCTAGAGTAGATAGGCCAAGTTGTAAATATCTGGACTTGTAGTCTAACTTTTTCAGTTTGTCTGGTATTTTTGTGGCTCTGCGCTTTATTAACTCAATAGTTTGTTCATCCTTCACCAAATGAGGGTTCCAAGCTGGAACTGCAAACTCAAGTAAAGGACGGATGCAGGTGGAGTAAAGTTGTCTCCATAAAAAAGCATCACGAGACTGGAAAGTGTGTTTTAGGATGCCTAGCATTTTATTTGCTTTACATGAGGCAATGATGGGTTGGGTTTCTACTTTAAGGTCATTGGTAATTTGAATTCCCAAGTCACGCTCAGAGGTGGTTGCTTCCAATATAGCTCGAACTACAGTTATTGAACGAGAGCATTTTCCTTCATTGATTACTTGAAAGTAGTTAATTTTTTTTTTGCCAAAGTGCATGACCTTGCATTTCTTTTCACTTCCATGAGCCAAGACTTAGTCCAATGAACAATTTGGTCAATATTTGATTGGAGTTGAAGTTGAGCAGCGAATGAGTTAACAATGCTCAGAATTTTATTGTCATTAGCGAAGATCTTACAAATGTTTTCTTTGCTTATTACATCCGGCAGATAATTGATGAAAATGACAAATAAAATTGGACCCAAGACTGATCCTTGTCGAACTCCACTTATCACAGGTAACCAATTCGATTAAGTGTCACCAAGGATGACTCGTTGAGACCTGTTAATTTATCCAATTGAGAAGATTACTTTCGATTCCGTACATTTTTAGTTTTTAAAGCATTCTTTGATATGGCACTTTGTCAAATGCTTTGGCAAAATTCAAGAATATGACGTCAACTGGTAGCTTTCTGGCCAAATTTCCAGTTAAGAAATCCATTGTTTCAAGGGGATTTGTAATGCACGTTTTTTTCTCTACAAAGCCATGTTGACTATTTGATAGAAGAGTGTTTGATTTTAGATGCTACATGATTGCCTTCTTATCTAGTTTCTCCATTATTTTACATGGAATTGAGGTGAGAGATGTTGTTCTGTAGTTTGATGGGTCGATTCTGGAGCCCTTCTTAAATAAAGTTGTTACATTTGCTTTAGACCATGAGTTTGAAATTTCACCATTGTCAAATGATATTTGAAAGATAAGAGTGAGTGGAGTAGACATTGAGGTAGAACAAAAGCGTAAAATGTGAGAACTGACATTGTCTATACCAAGTGGTTTAGATATATATAGTGGTGAGAGTTCTCTCAGAGTGGCCTGAGTGTCAAAAGTTATGTTTTTGAGAATTGTGTTAGTTCAACGATCAAAATGGGGAAGATTGCTATTGGATGGCTCTTTGCTAAAAACTGCTTGAAATTGATTGTTAAGTGAGTTAGCTATTTTAATTTTGTCAGAGTTAATGAATTCACTGGAACTGGTCATTCGCTAGATGAGATCTGATTTATTACAAAACGTTTACTGTTTATGTATGAAAATAGTCTTTTAGCGTTGCGCTTATCATTTGCAAGAGCAAATTCAAAAGATTTCAGAGAAGAAGAACTTAATTTTTTTAACAAACTTTCTAGTTTCTATATATTTCTTAACCAGGGATGCGATTTTCTATTTTGAACTGATGTTACAAGCCCACAGCAATTTTTTAAGATGAATCAAGGATAAATGTTCTATTGTCATCCATGGTTGTTTATTTGGGGATGGTTTGTTCGGCATGCGAGGGATGAATTGAAGACAACATTTATTGTAATTGTTTAGCCAAATTTCGTAACATTGTTCTACGTTTAATTCTTTAAAAATAGATGACCAGTCAACCTTATTGAATTCTTTGTTGATTTTTTCGTAGTTACCGAGGTTGTAAATAAATTTAGAGCTGTTGAAATGTGATAATTTTCCGGTGGAAGCCAGTTTGTATTGCCAGGTGATCGAGCAATAATAATGGTCAAATAAACCGAGTGGAAGACCAATGTTGACTTCGTTAACACGATATGGAGAGTCACATATTATGAGATCAAGAGTATTTGTCATGTGCGATTAGCAGGTTTGAAAGTAGGCACAGTGACGATTTGGTGAAGATGACAACTTTGAAGAAGAGAGACAAAAGACAAAAACTGAGATCAATTCTACTAGAGGAGAAGACTGAATTGGAAGTCCAAATAATCTCTGGGAAATTGAAATCACCGGCAATGATCACACCATTGTATTTTTTGGTCGATACTGATGTTTCAGCATGGAAAATAGCACTTGAAATCTCTGAGAAGGCTTCAATACTAGAAGATAGAGGTCTATAAATGCAGCCTAAAAGCAGAGTTTCATTCAGAAGCTTTAGTTCAATTAATAATTGTTCAGAATAGTAACAAATAAAATTTTTGTGTAGTAGGGATTCCTATAGTTGGTTTGAGATGATTTTATTGTTTGTGTATATAGCTACACCTCCTCCATTTTGGTTCAGACGGTCTGAACGATAGAGGTTGTAGTTTGGAAGAGAGGGAGTTGATTGGTCGTTGAATCATGTCTCGGTGATAAAAATAATGTCAAAAAATATTTTTTTCTGCGAGTAAGGAGAGTTCGATGAGTTTTATTGGATTGAGGGAGGTTGCATTAGTGTAGAAGCACGAAAGATTAGAACATTTAATTAAAGAACTAGCTTTGTTTAAAAATGTTGAACTAGTAAGATGCTGAGAGCAATTGAATGGCTCTCAGCTGCTGAGGTATGGGTTCCTCTCTCTTCCATTGATGTTAACTGTTTTGGATGTGTCAACGCATTTGATTTTTTCGCTGTGGATGACAAATTGAAAGGGTTTGTCAAGTAAATCTTTTGCCAATAGTTCTGCATTTTCGGTAGCACGCTTTTTGTTGAAGTTGTTGAATGTTTCTTGTTCGAGAGGTGTACGATCTGGACAAATATAGTCAGATTTTAATTCATCTATTCATCTAAGTCGTTTTGCATTAGATAAGAGATCATTGCAGTGCTCATTGGAGTCAAAATCTATAATAACCAATTCATTTGGTTCAGCTGCTATTGTAGTTAAACTGGTGGTATTGTTACACTTTTTTGAGAAATGCCCAACAACTTTAAAAACAACATTATAGTAAAGCTTTTTGAGCATACTTTGAACTAAAATTAGCCTCTGATTATTGTCAGAGGATTTTAGAAGACCGGCAACTATAGCTCTTTTAGATTTCGTTTCTACAATTTTGGCATTTTCCTTGACTGCTGTGATAATTGCTTTATTGGCTTCTCAACCGTGTTTGACTGCGCTTGCCCAGTTGAGAGTTGTGATCAAACTCGTAGGTGCTACCTTTGGTTGTTGAAAGTGATATGCTATTAGAGTAATGTTTTCATTTTCAAAAGCAGATACGCGGGTGAGAAGTATTTTGACTGTGGCTATTAGTTTTGATATCGTAGCATCAAGCTTTTGAGAAGCAGCTGGATGATTACCTTGACCAAGGCCTGGCCAGTTGGCTGCTAGAGCTGCAATATATATGTATATACATATACATATATATATATATATATATATATATATATATATATATATATATATATATATATATATATATATATATATATATATATATATATATATATATATATATTATACTCTTCTATTATATATATAATTATAAATAATATAAAGATATTTATAAAAATGTTGTTTTTTAAATGTTTAAGGTAAAGTGGTGTAATATTGACACATCTTTAGAAGAAAAATTTTTTTTATAGCATGCGACAAAAAAGTTTTGGAATCCAATATTTTTAGGTGTTTAACAATGATATTGCTGCCATAAACTGTAAAAAATTTAACTTTTTGTGTAATGTTATTGACAGATAAATATTTTTGGTAGTGCCACTATCAATGTTACTCTCTATGTGGGATAACTTTGACAGTAGAATGTTTTATGCTGTAAATGTGTTTATTTCAATTTCTGAAACAACGAGATTACTTTTTAGATCTTCAGTTTCTAATGTTTTGTTTTTACCAGTATTATGCAACATTGTTAGGTGTGAATTTTAAATTTTTGAGTG